GTGGTGCTGGACCTGGCAAGACGCCCGTTCTCCTGCAGGTCGGTTTTCAGTGTGGAAGCTTGGGCAGCCAGACGTTTGGACACCACAACGACACTTGCGCTCGCTTGTGCTTTTCTCCAGCATTTTTATGACCAAACAGCGTGATTTTGACAACCGACAGCCTGAAGTTCAGTTTTTGTGACGTCATGTGTTGCCACTTCGGGACCAATTTTGATGTATGGGTGGAATTGAACGCTAAACACACCTGTCGGAGACGCGCTTCAGGTACCGTATGGTAGTGTTCACTGGATGCCATATTTGAGAAAGCTGTTTAGAGTGCATTTTTAGAACGAGCTCACAATTGGCTGCTGAGTCCGCCAATCTTGATGGTGTAAAATGCACTTTGCAAAAACACTGTGGGAGCTTGCAGTCAGCACGTGCTCAGCAGTCGTGCACAGAACTCTGGCCGCCGGTGAAAGCTACATAATAGGGCATAATAATATTAATTACTCTCAATGCCAAAATAAGTTCTCTGCGCCAAATACATTCAGGAAACGACTCTCGGAATCCCTTGTGTTATAGTTTCCGCTCTTTCTGGATGCTGTGGGTTATACTGAGCTCGCAGTCGCTTAGTGCGTCGAACAACGCCACTCATACATAATAAAATACTTATCACTTCTGAGTGCATGTGAAGCCTCCATAATTCCAAGGGATTAGGTGTATCCCAAAGGTCGGTTGCACAACGCCTCGCCACGATTCTTATTTCGAGTCGCTCGTCATAATCATCTCATGGTACATGCCAACAAACAAAGATACATGTCGCAGTAGTTCTTGTTAGGTTTACAAACCTCTTTGTATGTGTCTTGGATTTCGTTTGTTTTTTAACAGCTTCAAAGGGAAGCGGGTTTTGCAATATTTATGACTGTGGATGTCAAAGATGCGGCCGTCTGCCGCTTGTGGCTTCAGAAGTAACACGAGTCTTTTGGCAGGGCAGTTTTGAACCAAGGGATATACGCGCTCCACCCCTGAGCCGAACACGCGATGTGAGTGGAAGGGAATTACCGACAGAGGTGCCGAGCAACATTTCCCGTACGCGTCGGGAAATTACTAGACTTGTTGGCGCGAGGGAGAAGAAAGTGCAGTCAACACTGAGCATCAGACGGGGCATCATGACACCAAGATATCGAGTGGCCTCGCGTGGCTGCTAATACCTGCAACCCAGTTTGAATATATTATGTAAAAAAACTGCATAAACTATATATATTCGTCATCTTCAGCCGGGGTGTTCCTGTGCTTCTCTACGATCTCCGACGGCTAGGTGCAATCAGGGGTTGCCATAATCCCATCTGCGGCAACCACAGCAACGAGAATTTAACTCTGTCCGTAAAGCCGATGTTACACTGTTTATGCATCATACAAAAGACATCCAGCCTACAGATTCGAACGCAAGTTACCTCTATAACCGTGCCTCTAACGCGGCACGGTAAAGACTTTAAAATAAAACTTGGCCCGCGGCATTCGAATCACAGATAATGCGGTGACTCGTGCTTGCAGGTTGTCTTTTGTATGACGTGTCGGCAGTGTGACGCGGGCATAACAATATATTGACAGAACGCACAGTTATCTCCACACACACTAACCAAAACTTCGAGAGCTCACTATCCTGCATAATACAAAACAGCCAATCACAGCTAGCTATAAGATGGCGCGATTTAGGCTACACACACACACAGTCAAAAAAAGGTTCGTGAGTTCACTTTTCTGCAAAATACAAGAACAGTGGATTACGGACAAAAAAAAAAAACGACGAGACATGTGATACACACACTCTAAACAAAGCCAGTGAGTTCCTTTTCCTGCATAATAAAGAAATATCCTATCACAGCGAATTCTAGAACGACGTTGTTGCGTTTGGCCGAGCAGGACTCTAGGCCAAGGCGAGACGACGACACCGGGAGCAGGGCAGACGGACTTTTTAATCCCGGCAAGCTTGCCGACAGATGAAAACCGAAGAACAAAACCGGCGGCGGCGCGACCGACTTTTATTGGCTGCTGCCAAGAACAAATGAAAGAAAAAGTGCGATGCCGAAGGTATCGCTTTTGGCGCGGCGGCTATCAACAATCGCGCGTTCCTGCTGCGCTCATGCGTGACAACGCAACAACTTCTCCCCCACGGAAGGACACGGGGGGGTGCGAGTCCTTGGCTCGTATCCCCGGTAGAGTCCGTGGATCGTGTCTCCGGCCGGCGCACGATGCAGGAAAAGGTATGTTGTTGCGTGGAGGTAGTGTCCAGGGGTCGACGATGACACCGAACTGGAGAGGCGTCTTGTTCCCGCAGAGTTGGTCCGTGCTTTGCAGGCGTTGAGTTTTTCCGGACAACACACGAGGCAGGTCCAGGTACATCAGGACGCTGAGCGAGGGGTCGACGATGGCACCGCACCGGAGAGGCGTCTGGTCCCTGTGGGAGCTGGTTCGTGCTTTCGAAGGTGTGGAGCCTCACATCAAGATGCCTGGGCAACGGAAGGGAAGGCGAACCCAGAAACTTCACAAACAGCGGCCAAGCGAAGGCAGGCCCGCCCCCTGGTATGAGAGTGCTTTAAATCGAGCAATGCTACGTACAAGAACCTATGGCGACCAGAAAGGGAACCCCTATCGGCACTGGCATAAATGTATTGTTTAAAAAAAAAATATTTGCCCATGCCATTCCTCGCCTAGGCAGAGAAAGCCCTGCTCAAGCTGTCTGCATTAGTGTGCAGGGATCCTTTTTTGTGCTTAACAGTGAACACGTACGGTTGCAGACTTAGACTCCAACGGAGCAATCTACCATTCTTGTTCGACATCTGTTGGAGCCACATTAGCGGTCGGTGGTCTGCGATGAAAACAAATGGCGACCCCGACAAGTGACATGAAAGTTTTTCTACCGCCCACACAAGGCAAGCGCACTCTTTCAATTGTGCTGTACGCCTGCTCTCGAGCGCTTAATTTCCTGCTCACGAACAGGATCGGGTGCTCTCCCCCGTCTGCGCTTTCTTGGCGCAGGACTACCCCCAGCCCCTTTTCGCTGGCGCCACACTGCACGAGGAAAGGTTTCGAGTGGTCCGTGCTTGCCGAGACGGGCTTACTCATCAAGATGCTTTTAAGGGCGTCAAAAGATGCCTGCTTCTCTTCGTCCCTGTTTACGCGAAAAAGGCGCATTCTTTTTCAACGGATCAGTAAGTGGACTAGCCAGCTTGGAGAACCCCTTGATGTAGTGTTGGTAATACCCGATTAAGCCCTAAAACGTACGAATCTGCTTTTTTTTTTTTTTCTGGACGTGTAAACTCCTTGATCGCCAGTACCTTTGCTTCCAACGGGCTTCGGTGTCCTTGGCCTACGGTTTGTCCGAGGTAATCTACCTGTGAGCGACCAAACTTGCACTTCTGTGCTTTCAGAGTTAGTCCCGCCTGGCGATGTCTCGAAAATACTTCTCGTAGATGGTCCAAGTGTTCGGACCATGTGTCAAAAAAGATTGCAATGTTGTCTAAATATGGTAGAGCAAAACTTTCCAACCCTGCAAGGGCTTCGTTCATCAACCTAGAGAATTCGAAAGGAGAATTTTTAAGGCCAAAGCTAAGGACCGAAGGCCGAAAAGCGCCAAAAGGGGTCACGAAAGCGGCAAGACTACTTGCACGCTCGGTGAGCGATACTTGCCAATATCCACGAACAAGATCTAGAGTGGATATGGCCTTTGCCTGGCACACTTTTTCGAGGCACACTTTTCAACGTGCGGAATGGGAAAAACCCTCGTGGCGGTCACTCCGTTCAACTTACGGTAGTCAACGCAAGGCCGTGGTTCCTTGCCGTTAGCTTCCACGATTATCATCGGAGATGCAAAGTCACCCTCGCCTGGCTCAATTAGCTTAAGAGCGAGCACCTGTTCAACAGCTTCCTTCATCAGTTTTTCTTGTCGAGGCGGGTACCGGTAAGCTTTGCACGTCTTGGTGTCACTCGAAGTCAACCCTATGTCATGGGTCATTAAACTAGTTCGACCTGGGACTTTCGAAAACAATTCCTGATACTCGGTTATTAAGGCTAGCAAGTCTTTACTCTGATTTTCGCTTAAGGTGGGTGGCTGAACCACGGTTGCCAGGCTCTCCTCTTTAGGGAAGGAGGTTAAATCTCGTGGGATCTCTGGAAGGCTGAGTGCTACTCCCTCAGGTTCGCTAATAATTGGGACCGCTGTCAGATGCGTTTTTCCGTAAGTCGACCCGTCCGCTGACAGATGTCACAGCTCCGAACGAAATGTTCGTCATCTTTAAAACAACTTGGCCAGTAGTACTCGCTTAGGAGCCTTGCCTTGGTCTTGTTGTTACCTAGGTGGCCCTACCAACCCACCCGGTGAGACAATCCCAAAAGGTTTTCTCGGTACTGAGGAACGACTATTTGGTCGACGTTCATCCCTTCCTTTCCACAAAACTCGCGGTACAGTATTCCGTTCTTTTCAAAGAACCTTGAGCTGCTCGAAGTAGGGTTTTGAATGCTCTCCCAACATTTTATCAATATGTTATCACTCTTCTGCTCTACAATCAAGGTAGCCCTATCTATTGCAGCGAGCGCCTTAAAATCACTGCTCGTCGGAGGGATGAACGTCAATTCATCGTCAACTTTTTCCTCGTCACGGTCTGGCTCATCTAGAGCGCGACGCTCGTCATTTTCGACGGGACGGTGCGAGTCACCTGCTGCACTGGCTTCCGCAGCTACAGCCTGCTCTACACCTTTTTCGCAGCTTTTCTTTTTCATCGATCTCGTGAAAACCATGACCGGGTTCATGTCATGCGTTATCCCTGACTTAAGCAGTTCCTTTACGGTTCTGTTAGACAAAAGGTACGGGCATCTCGGCAAGACGTTGTCCGAGACTGCGGCCTCGGTTTCCACCTCCCCAAAGGTGCCTCTCAGGATTACTTTTGCAACAGGTAGGCTGACAGTACCTCCTTCCAGAGCCTACCTCAGGCGCACGAAGTCGCCTGTGAAGTCGTTCTCGTTCACGAAAGAAGAGTGTGCACGACGCCGTACGTCGCACCGGTGTCCCGTAAGACCTTGCAAGTCTTACCGTTAACGTCCATGTCGTAAAGGTATGGACCTAACACGTCTTCGTCCTTTTCGAGAACGAGCTGGACTGGGGAGACCTTTGGGACACGACATCCAGCAGCCACGTGTCCTGGCTTTTGGCACCGGAAGCATCCAATTTGTTTCCGTGCTTCGAACGACTTCTTCATGCGTGTTTCGGGGGACTCGTCTTTAGGAACTGGCTTGTTCGCGTTCTTTTCCAACGTGCGGAATCTTTTACTTCCCCCAGACGAAGCCCCCGGAGGCCGGTCAGTCTTCCCTAGGTCGCAACTTGATCCCCTCTTTGCACAGTACTCATCTGTATATTCTGCTGCTTTGCGCACTGTTCCTACGTCTGGTCGATCCTGAAACCATTCTCTGAGCTTTTCAGGCAACGTACGATAGAACTGCTCTAAGCAAAACTGCTCAAACATCTTCGCTTTGTCCTCATACGCCCGAGCTCCTTTGAGCCAGTTTTCCAGAAAACTACCTAGCTTATATCCGAACTCCGAGTAGCTCTCTTGTGGGCCTTTCGTGGCTTCTCGAAATTTCAAACGGAAAGCTTCGGGTGACAACTTATATTTTCTCAACAAAGCACCCTTCACTACCGTGTAATTTTCGGCCTCTTCTGGCAGTAACCTGGCCAGTACATCAACTGCTTCGGCCGGCAACACGCTCAGAAGCCTCTGACGCCAACACGACTCTTCGAAACCCATCCTGACACATGTGCGCTCGAAGTTGGTTAAGAAGAATCAACTCGCTCCAAACAGAAAAGGGCTGAAGAAAACTTCTCATGTCATAGTTAACTGCTTTCGCGACTCCAACAGCGGTCATTTCCAAAGTCAGCTTTAGCTGTTCAAGTTGCTGTTGTTTTAGTTGCTCGTCTCTTTCTTCCTCTAGGCGTCGTTTCTTTGCCTCATCGACAGCTTCGGCAATTTCGTCATCCCCGGCTCCGCAGTCCAAAATTGTTTTCACTATGTCTGGCTTTCGCATTGCCTTGCTTTAATCTAAACCGAGCTCTTGAGCTACGGCTAACAGCTCTACTTTAAGCAGGCTATCCAAATCCATTTCTGCCAGGTACAATGTCAAAGTCCCGTTTCTGTCGCCTTTCCTATTTTCGCTTCAACACGAAAATTACAACATTCGGCGTACTAGAAAAAGCAAGAGCCAAAGCCTCTCCGACCGCTGCCGTAGCGCTCCCGTAGATCCGCCATCCCACCGCTGCCACCAGCTGTTATGTTTGGCCGAGCAGGACTCCAGGCCACGGCGAGAAGACGACAGGGCAGACGGACTTTTTAATCCAGGCAAGCTTGCCGACAGACGAAAACCGAAGAACAAAACCGGCGGCGGCGCGACCGACTTTTATCGGCTGCTGCCAAGAACATATGAAAGAAAAAGTGCGATGCCGAAGATATCGCTGTTGGCGCGGCGGCTATCAACAATCGCGCGTTCCTGCTGCGCTCATGCATGACAACCCAACAACGTGCAACGTGTTCGACACGATCTAAACAGTGCCTATAAGTTCATGTTCCTGCGTAAAAAAAAAAAAAAAACTGGATCACGCCGAAGACGAGGGCGACGTGATATGTGCTGCACGCACTTTAAACAAACCTTGTCAGTTTCATTTCCGGCATAGCACAGAAACAGCCAATCAAGGCGAAAAATAGAAGGAGGTGATTTGTCCTGCACCGTAGTCTCCTCTATACTGGCAAAACCTGGCAGATCGCCACAAGACGGAGCCGCTGAAAGTGAAAAAGTAGAGCGTCAGACAAAGGACAAGAGGAGAGGCATGTAGCGGGCTCCCCGCTGCGGCGAGACGCCGGAACACACTTGCCCAAGAGATGGAATTTCCGCTCGTGCTCTTCGCGTTCCTCGGGCTAACGCTTCCTTTCTCGTCGGGTTTGACAACCATGTGTCGGGTCCTCGCCACTGCAAAGCTACCGCTTTTTTTCTCGTCCGGTTTCGAAACCATGTTTCGGGTCCTGGCTGCTGCAAAAGCTGTGCGCTGACAACAAATTCACCGAGAAATACTTTGTGCTACCATATCCTTGAGCTCCAAATCTGCGGTTGAGCGTTCTATGGCTCCCTCGTCGAACTGCCGTGCTTTGTGAGTATAGAGGACGCAATGGCTGCACACACTCTATACATAAAGGCTTTGAGCTTTCTTTTTTGCTTAACAAAGAAACAGCCGATAATGGTGAACAATAAAAAGACGTGCAATGTGCTGCATACACTCTAAACAAAGTTCTTGAGTTTACTTTTCTGCACAACACAGAACAGTCAATCATGGCGAACAATAGAACGACGTGCAATGTGGCGCACACTCTAAACAAAAACTTAAAACACGAACAGCCGACCAGGGCCAGAAAAAAAACGATGTGCAGTGTGCTGCACATAATCTATACAAAGGCTGTGGGTTCCCTTTCCTGCATATAACAAAAAACAGCCGATCATGGCGAATAATAGAACGACATGAAATGTGCTGCACACACTCTAAACACAGCCTGTAAGTTACCTTACCTCCATAAAGCATAAGCTGCAGATCACGACGTACAAAAAAACGACGTGCAACTAGGTGCACGCACACTAAACAAAGTCTTTGAGTGTGCCTTTCTGCATAACACAAAACAGTCAATAACGACGTACAATAGAACGACGTGCAATATGCCGCATAGACTCTGCGCAAAGCCTGTGGGAGCTTTTTCTGCGTAGTACAGAAGCAGCCGACCACTGAGAACAATAAAACGACATGGAACGCGCTGCACACATTCTAAGCAAACCCCGTGAATACCCTTTCTTCCATAGCACAAAAACAGGCAATGATGCGAACAACAGAACCACGTCCAGTGTGCTGCTCACACATTAAACAAGGGCTAAGAGTAACCTTCCCTGCATAACAGAAGAACCGCCGACAACGGCGAACAATAAAACGACGTGCAATGTGCTCCTCACACTCTAAACAAAGTATATGGGTTCACTTTTCTTCATGATACAAAGACAGCCAATCACGGTGAACAATAAGACAACAGTGAATGGCGAAGCTGAGGCTACAACTGAAATTGAAACAGTGCGATGTCCGCGGGGACGCTCGGCCAGTGAAACGCCATCGCCTTTGCCCTTGAGCACTTCACATATATTGGAGCGCAATATTTTAATGTTTGCTGCGATTGTTTGCATGACGTTTCCAATTTAGTTAAACAGTGTAAAGATGCGTATAAAGAGTATTAGAGAGTGCCCCGAGTCAGCACGTTTGAACCAACTTGTAGTTTCTATTACAAAATTTAAATTGTAGAAGAAAAAAAAATCAAAATCGTCGATTGCTTCGCCGTCCCGATGGTGTCTCGCTCTCTTGAGTAATACCAGGTGTAAAATCGGGCCGCTCCCCATGTCAAGGCTGAACCACGTGTGCGACAAATAATTGGAATATAGGGAAATAATCTGAAAGTATGAAAACTGTATATGCTATTTTAGAGGCACGAGTGTATCCATTGCATGGAAACCGGAAATAAGGACTTACAGAAGCACATTCAAAATTTTTATGCAAAATAATAATGTATTTTTAATTCAGTCTTTCTCTTTCTTCTTATGTGTGAAATAATGCTTTTATGTATCAGTTTTGGTGCGTTTATATGTTGGTTTCTCGCGTATTGGCCATTCCAGCTAAATCGACGGCACCTAGCTGCTAGAACGGAGAGCTCTGGCGGCAGGTTCGCCCGCCAGCCTCCTCGAGAAAATGAAACATCCACAGCGCCTGGCGGTCTACACACGGGGGTTAAATTTCGCAACCTGCTCAAGTGTTAATGTACAGCTCGATCTGTGACGTTATCTTCCAGTTCAATAACTTAAATCGGGGTATATCACAATACAGCTCAATTCCGGCTTCAAATAGGATGTGATTAAGAGCATTAATCTGCTCATTTTACCTGAGAACCCATGAGGGGTGCAAAGTAGAGCAGTTGTCATAGGTCTTCGTAAAGGCGTCCTTTCTCGAGAGCTCTCCGCAGAGAGAACTCCAAGTGACATCTCGCAGAGCGAACCACCCAGAGGGCAATCGCGGACAACCACTTCGCTGGAAGCGAACTGGTGGCTTGCTCCTCTTCGATGATTGTGTTGTCCATTCGCGCTCCGGGCGCAATTCTGCGGAGGAATGATGAGATCAATGATTGTGAGCGTATGTCGCTGACAATTTGAAGGCCGCAGGGCGTGCGGCGAGTTCCCTTAAAAATATTATTAATGTGTTTCAATTGAGTTTTATTTTGCATTTACAGACTACATAAGAAACTTAATTAAAACTCATTGATTATTTTTATAAAGGTTCCGACCATCTAACCGCTCCTCAACTAATAAAATGGCGCCATTACTCGATAAAAAAGAGGTGTACAAGTCCCGATGCAAAGAGCTTGAAGATAAAAACGCGCGTATTGCGTTCCTTAAGTTTGCATTCACGATAATAAAATAATATACAATTCATCAGATTAACGGCGTTGACCACCAGAAGAAAGACAACAGGGTGATTAAGCCAGATGATGATGACCGAGCAAAAAAAAAGTTTAAAAAATTTGAATGTCATTCTGAACAAAGGAACTGAACAATGTAAATCAAGCCACCTTTTCAGGACTCATTTTTCGAAACTATGAGCGCTTCAGCTTATTCTTTAAACGCAATTAAGTATTCTAATCGGTCCCACAACACTGCGAGATGTTGTGTAGTTCTAAAGCATAAACTCCAAGACTTCAGGGCGAAAAATATCCAAGGCCGTGCAGCGAATACACGTCTTCGGTAGCGCCGATATGCATTTTCACACACTCATTTTAGAAGATAGCTTTGAAATGGACGAACGAAAGCAGCAGATATTATGAATGCAAGAAACTTCACAGGACATCGATTTACCACATGGTGCTTCTGGCGTTGTGTCCTTGGAATCATGGAGTTTTACAAACGTCTTTACTTCTATTGATCTCAACGTGGACTGAGGGGAAAGCTGCTGCTCAGATCTCATAACTGTTGGATGTGTATACTTTCTGCGCTATTGCTAGCCTAGGTCTTGGAACTATTATATTCAGCGGCAGGAGGAATATGTCTCGGAGGTTTTTCGGCGGGTTGTCCTGCCTCCAGTGCTAGCTTCCTGTTGCCTTCGACAACACATCGTTGTCTCGTGAGCTCCGAGCGCGCACGCGCAACCAAAGCACGAAGTAAGGCCACCTGGTAGTGGCGGCGGCCCGGTCTCCAAAATAGACTCCCTGCCGTTCTTTCAGGAAAAGGAGGGCAGAAAAATCTTTCAGTATTCCGCCTGCAGCAAGAGTAACCTTCATGCGATAACATGCTGGTGTCTCGTGAACTTCTACCATGCACGCGCGGTCAAACGTAGCGGAATGCAATGAATCCGTGCCTCAGGATTGTATTTAGATGGGACGCCCTGTCGTTCTTGCCCTGTCAGAGACTATAGAGCTACGAGCTGGTGTATCCGGCAGTTTTGCTGCAGTTCACGTTAAGATTAGATTAGAAAACATGTAGGAGAATCTAAAGTTTCACTATGGCACGCTCCGTAACGAGCTCTGTAGCATTCCTGGAGCTGTCGGCTATTCGTACGACGGGTTGGTTGGTAGCTAAAGAACCCAAAACATGAGTTAAACAAATGAAATATTCTTGATTAAAGCATGCATAAATTCAAGTCTAGAAGCCTCGATTACGAACATGCATAAATTTAAGCCGATAAGTCTAGAAAGACTAAACCTCAAACGAAATATTAAAAAAAAACTTATCTAGAGACTAAATGTGGGGCAGCGGTTCGCTTCGTCGTGAAAACAGCTGAAACACCTTGACCGGGAAATAAGCTTTTTGGTGGTAGCGTTCATAACAATCTTGTAAACAGTAACTAGCGTTGCAGAGTTCTGAACATGACTCGTTAGAATATACCTTCTAATGAAGTCTCTAAAATCAGCGACTGTGGCATTTGGATTGTTGCGAAAGAAAGAGTCTGAAGCACGTCGTGGACCCGGAGGAATCCGTGCCGGACAGCTTGCTCCCTCAGTCAAGTCACTGAAAGAGAGCCAAATGATGTGTCCTGGAGCAATTATCCAATACTGCTGTTTGTAGAAGTATAAAATTGGGAAAAATTACCCTATCTATTCCAAAATATGTCAACCTCTTCATGAAGAATGCCTGCGCGTGTATTTTTCTGCAGCACTCAAGTAGAGCCATGCGAATTATGGAAGAGCTCAGGGCGAATGTCGAGGCACCGATATCGTTGAAGCGCAGAAATAAAATTTGCATTGGTCACTTATTTAAAAAGTTTTAGACGTTATTTTTGCTTTGCGATTCGCCGAATTATTTCGTAAATATTTTATTGGACTCTGCATGTTCCACGGGTAAGTAGACACACACACAGCTTCGTTCATAAAAAGGTAGGCCGTTTTTTTAATAAATAATGGTTGCTTCGCATTATTCTCATTCCTGTACTCAAAGAAGCTCCTCTTGGGCCATTACCCAAGAGGGAACAACCTCACTTGTTGCCCCCACGACCGCCCTGCTCATCAAGTATGCCGACATACTAGCCCACTACCGTCACGACCGAAGAAAATACCCGGCACCGCACCCAAGACTATCAAGAGATGAAGCCAGCACCCTCCGAAGACTGTAGACCAACACAAATCCCCGCAGCACCCTTCTTCACGCCATCTATCCCGCTCAATACCCCGCCACCTGTAATTTTTGTCCTTCTCCCGCAACCTTTATCATCAGGTATGGGAATGCCAACGAACCCCGGACCAAACTCCCAAACCCACCCCATCCTTCGAGCAGTGGATGGCCTGCCTGACCAGCCCGTACCCTGGGATCCAGCAAGACCTGGTGACAAGGGCCCGGATAGCCAGCCGCAGCCAGGGTAACCCGGACTAAGGATGCCCTCCACCGGGAGGGTGCCCTAACATCTGCACCTCATGCTCGATAAATAAAGGTTTATTCATCATCATCATCATCATCATTCTGTGTGTTAACTTTCTTACAGAGCACAGAGATAACCGATCCCGGTAAAACCAATGACGACGTTTAGAATGCGATCGGAGACCTAAAAAAGGCGATGTGCACAGAGTTAAACGGTATGTTCTTTGCACATGCGTACATTAATTTTCGTCTAATTATTATCTTTGGTACATCACTCGCCCACATCTTTCTGTTGCAAGCTTGGGTTGGGTTCATTCGTGTTGTGCAGAAAAGTGAACTTACAGACTTCTTGAGAGTTTATGTAGGACATGCATCGACGCCACACCAGAGGCCCTTGCGGAAGCCTCGGTTTTGAGCGCGTACTTTATGCATCACACATTTGGCAGCACTAAATACAATTTTCTTGGCAGGAACCAACACAGATTAGCACAAATATTGTGCAATGACCTCGCGTGCAAGTCACGTAAAACGTCAAACAATTTATATTATGAACTTCAGAGAAACTCGGCGAACACTTACCCAGACGAAAGAACGCGCTTCATTCAATCTACACTCCCTAATATATTGACCCTGAGTTTGCAGAAAACCAGGGCCGGCTTTCTAGAAACAGCGTCTGAGCTGAGACTGGAAGAAAACACTGCCAGAGTCAGCGCATGAGCTGAGCGGGATTCAAACCGCGTCTCAAGACGCCCGAGCGCCCTCTTTACAATGCTTCCTTTCATTCAAACTCAGCTGAGACGCTGTTCTGAAAAAAACCGGCCCTTGGCTACGGGAAAAAAAAAAGTTACCTTCTCTTTTAGCGTTGCATTATAGCCTCCTCTATACTGACAAAGCCTGGCAGATCGCAACGAGGCGTGGCCACCGAAAGTGAAAAGGTAGAGCGGCAGACAACGGATCAGAGGAGAGTCATGTAACGTGTGCCCCGCTGCGGCGAAACGCTGAAACACAGCTCTCCCGAGCGATGGAATGTCCGCTTTTGCTACCACTTTGTTTCTCGTCGGGTTTGAAAACCATGTTTCGGGTCACCACCGCTCAAAATCTGTGCGCTCACGACCAGGTTCCCTGAAATTGCTCTGTGCTACCAGATCCTCGCTCTCCAAATCTGCGACCGGGCGCTCTATGGCTCCGTCGTCGAACTGCCAGGTTTTGTGATTATAGAGGAGGCTATGGTTGCATAAATAATGCGCGCCAAGGCAGAGAGCTGAATATCGTTACTGCGTTACAGCCGGTTGAAGCTAACTGATTACTGTTCGTTTTCTGTTTTCTTCTCGAGAAGAGTTTGGGTGTTGGTTCTGAAATAAAATTATTATTAGTGTAAAGGGAGCGTCATGTTCTACTTGTAGTCGTAACTGTGAATTAAGACAGTTTTGTTTTCGTTATAGTTCGCGACACTCTTTGTTCATATTATATTCTAGCATAAATCACGTATGCGGCACATTGCCAGGCTTCCGTGTTTTCGGCAACTAGTTGACATCCTTGGCAGATCGGCAAAATAAAAAAGGCCTTAAACTGAAGCTATCCTTGAATATCGAGAACCCAAGCTACACAGGAAAAAAAAACATTTTATCCACAGTTTTATTTTTTGTGAACCTGAATCTGCCCAGATGGAACTTTCCGCGTTGCTGCTCCTTACTTCGCCACCCCTCACATCGCTTCCGTTGTTTTGTCGGTGCCTTGGGACATTTTTTTTTAAGCATGAGGGTTACACGCACTTTTCCGGGAGGTCGGGGAATCCCATTCCTGTGTCCCATTTTCTTCAACATAATTACCGGAAAACATATAAGTTTCTTATTACACCGAACGTGGTAACCTGGAACCCCAAGTCGGCAGGAACAAATATAAATCTCAAGGAAACACTTCGAACTTGAATAAAAACACAAAATCTTAAGCATAAAAATTAAGATATGTGATTGTGAAATTCGTACATCACAGCGGACGGTTCGAAATGTACGGCTGTGCCGTTGATGCAGTGGTTAAAGAGCGAGATGTGGGCCAATGGTTCGCCGTCCCTGGACCCAGCGAGGTGCGGGGCCATGGCGCGCATCGGCCTGGAGACGCCGTCCTGGTACAGAGATCTTTGACGGTCGCTGCAGACGTAGCCGTAAAAGTCGTCGCACGGGGAAGGCGCCCTCGCGTTAGCACGGAAATAGGTCGCTAACCAGCGACACCCCGTGGTTCTGCATGGTCGGCTGCTTCGGTTCTGCTCTGGGGTGAGGTCCTCGTATTCGTCCTGCATAAATGTCGTGGGGCATTTTATATACCCTTTTTTTAAGCGCTGGAAGGACTTGCCCTTGCCAAATTACGTACCCGCGAACTTTTGGTCAAACGAGAGGAAAAACAATCGCAACAATAGCATAGCTTCTTGTCATTTTCACGACATATTTTATGACCAGTTCCTCAGGTGATTAGCTAAAGGACCGGTTAGCGCCAAATCTGGTTGGATAAAACTTTTTTTTGTTCCGGTAAGACGAACGAACCCTTTTTATATCTTAAATTATGCAACAAAAGGTCCTTCCAAAATCCTCAACCTCAAGATTTTCGTAGAACTTTACCGTCCCAGAAATTTTGGCGTCAGCATCAACAGGCTGAGAAGTACTGTTGAAACGGGGTGACCGGTAGTCCGTCGACAACCAAGAGACGGCTTGTGTTTGCAAGCAGTTATAGGGTCTATTGGCGACGTGCGCGATCGAAAGCGTCGCTGTGGTCGGCATTCCAGGATTGGCCGAATGCTGACTATGACGTCAGCAAAGGTTTTCCCGTTGACAGAAATAAAAGGCATGTGAGAACTTTAATTTTGACGGTGTTGGCAGTGTTGCTTTGAGAGCGCAATGATTTCAAGCCTCCGCCATGCTTATTGCAAACACCATCAAATTTGCTGTCCGCAAGGTAATGACGTCACGAAAGGAAACCATAGAGGGCGCCACTAGAACATCTCCCCGCTAATAGCTTCTGGATGTCTGAGAAATGCAGGGCGTGTCTCCAGAGTATCTCATTATCGCTCCACAGCGAAACAGATTACCAGGTGAGCCGATACGAACACCGAACAGCCAATCACGAGGCAGTAAATGTGAGTGTTATGTTATTAGCCCTGCGTTTCGTACACTCTAAAAAATGTCTGTGCGTCTACTTTCACGCACACGACACGGAGAGCAAATCGCCGCAACTTACGGAGGCAGCTCAGCGAATGACGATGCGGAAACATCTGTTTGGACAAAACACGCAGACTGAGTTGTGATATTACGCAATGCAAAACGTCACGCTTGCATTGCTTAATGTCACAACTCAGACTGCGTTTTTTGGTCTAAACATATGTTTTGCCATCGTCATTCGCTGAGCTTCCTCCGTAAGTTGCGGCGATTGGCTCTCCGAGTTGTGTGCGTGAAAGTAGACGCACAGACATTTTTTAGAGTGTAGGCAATTGGTGAACGTAGTGACCATCAGCCTAAAAAAAAAGAAAAAGGCAGGGCTTGGCTCACCATGTCAAGGCTTCGTGACTGCTTTGTCGCCGCTTTTATCCGCTCATATTACAATATCATTGGCTGGTTTGCAGCGAGAATAATATAATCGCGGTGGAGCTGACAGTGACTACACTCTCTAACAAGATTAAGGAGACCCTAAAATAAGAAAAAAAGTTTTTTTAGGCAGTTTGGTCGGGACACGCGTGCCAAAGAATTAATTTTACGCGATTTTTTTTTTATTGGAGCGAAATTGACGGCGCGAGACGGGACTTAAACTGGTTCAGACAGTAGCGTTTGACTGCGTTCGACTGCGTTTGGACTGCGAGAAACCAGGACATCCCTGCTGCTTATATCGCGTGCCAAGATGATTCCTTGATTTGGATTCCACGCTTCATACGAAGCACAGATGTGCCGGTGACTCGCTTTCGCTTCTCGACGCACCGCAGTCAAACGCACTCAAACGCAAGTGTCTGAACCGGCCTTTAGTCGGCAGTCACCTCCTTTCCTTTTGTTCTTTCTATCGTCATTCCGGGCTCGTGGAAGAGAGGTGAATCGACATGGCCATCACGTTGAGGTCGAGAGAGCGAAGGACCATTTCGTGATGTCAAGGACTTCGCGCACAAAATTTAAAATAAATCACGCACCGTCGATATTGCTCTAAACAAATTTTTTAAGAAATTCGAGGTGTCGCTTACTCTTTTTACGCTTCCGACTTCGGGACTCGTTCTTCGATGTTCGTATCGATAGAGACCCGTATTTAATTGGCCGCGCAGCCATAATGAGAAGCTCACGAGCACTCACAGGGATTCTGAGATCGTCTATTTATTGTGATAACTGAACCTATGAACTCTAAACGTCATAAAAAATCAAAAAGAAATCTCGAAAATACTTTTAAGGGTGGCCGATTTGTCTATAAATATATATTTGAAGATGGTGACGCGCCACTCTTTTTGCGCCTAGGAGCAGGCACCAGGGGGCCGCCGTCAGGCGTCATTTTGAAACCGTAATTGCTGCATTGCGTTCCTATGCACTCAAAGGTGTGATGTTCTTGCCGAAGTATACGGTACAACGCGCCTAAAAAGAGCAATCATGGTAATGTTCGCAATCCCCATGCGATCAACTATTTTCATCGGTAAAAAATTAACAAATTTTCAAGAACCCGGGGATGTCCCCCACCCCCCTCGCCCCCCCCCCCCCCACACACACACACACAGAAATAGAAAATAGTGTCCGACTATTTCTATTGTGAATTTACTCCAAGATCTTGCCATTTAGGAGTGGTCATTTTTATCGAAGAATACCCAGCAAGCAATATTCCATCAAAAACATGTTCCACAAAAGCACGTGCGGGCCTTTTTTGTTTCCCTTGCTGTCTACAGTAATGTTTGGTTATACTCTTATAAAAATATCAATGAGTTTCAATTGAGTTTGTAATGTACTCTTGTGAAATGCATTAGAAATTTAACTGACTCATTCATAGTTTTTGAAAAGATAACATATTCACGTTACTTCAGGTATTCATAAATTCACATAAATTTTAAATAAAATCGCGGTATAGATCTTTAACGTTTTTATCATGTCTGAAACGCTATACTTCATTTCAGCTTACGTCCAAGCGCGGCCGATATTAAGAGCCGAAGTGTCAATCAAACAGCCAAAGAGGGACAACGTCATGGCGTACTCTCTCCAGTTGATAGGGCCAGCCGGTATGCGCCGTCTCTCTGTGCGTGCTCCTCTGCCGGCTAGTCCTATCAAGCGCAGAGAGCACGCCATGACGTTTCGCTTTTTGCGCTGTTTGATTGGCCCTTCGGCTCATAACATCGTCCGCGCTCGGATATAAGGTGAAACGAAGTATAGTGCAACATTTAGGCGGAAACTCAACGTTGAACGATTGAACGATGCGTGGTGTTTTTGTTTTTTACTTTCATGGTTAAAAAAGAAGGATTGAAGTTTTTGTTTGTAGTTTGTAGTGTGCATAAAATCTTTCGTTTGTACTTCTGTTGTTACAACTTAACGTTCCTGTTCCTCATTACGTCTCTGCTGTAGATATTACACAGAGAAAAACTGCAATAAGCTCCCCAAAGTCAATCAGTAATGAAAGCCATTTCCATGCATGTATTTAAAGGCTCTCGTGTGGCGGCAAACAAATGAGATTCGGGGCAAATGTTCCTCCGTGAAAAAGACAAAACAAAAAAAAAATCACTCTCTTGGAATGTTTCAGAGGCATAACTCGATCAAGTGCCACTTTTTTTTTTTTTTTACAAAACATCGTGACGTTATTTTGTTTCTAAATGATCTGAACCTTTGCAATATTCGAGTTGTTTCAGTTGGCCTAGTCAACATCACCTAATATAATCAAGGCCTGCGAACGACCTCCTCTTTCTGCGTGAAACGTCATGACGGTCGGATGGCGCCAACTCGGCACTTGAACCCGAGTTCTATGCCGAGCGTCGTTCGACTTGTTGATTTGACACGAGGCTCGGCCGAACGCTCTCACAGCACTCGCTTCCTACCAGCCTATTCCTCCTTCGATCTTATTCTGAGGAGGTGAAAGGTCTAGTGAACAGGCTTTTATTATTAAGGGTGGTGATGGTATAACTCAATAGGTACAAGTTTTCTTTAATTGTGACATTAGAACCACTACGATATTTATAAATGTTTTGTCCCTCGTAGCTCTATTCACGCCATGCATTGGCATCACATCAGTGACAATTGTAGTGTCCTGGCTGCTGAGTCTCTACCTTGTGTAATATACATATTGCAAGGACAAGTGACATACAAAACAGCGCATAAAAAATCGAGGAAAGAGTAAAGGAACAAGCACGTCACACAAGCGCTGTCTCGCATCTGAATTTATATGTATAAATTCAGCGGCGAGTCAGCGCTTGTGTGTCGTGCATGTTCTTTTTCTCTGTCTTAGTCATTTTGAGCGCTGTTCTCTTCACTACATTTCGTCATACCAAATGGCCCCGCTTACCGCGCTTCCGCAAGGAGAAGAACATGCACCAGAATAGTTCAATGGCGTCACGTCTAGGTCATGGTACGGAAGCCTAGAGCTCCAGACAGGAGACGGGTCGATCTTACGAGAGAGGCACACTCGCGTCACTGGAGAATTAAGTTGGTCCCTAAGATTGTGTTTTTATGGACGCTGACTAAATCTGTACGGCCTAAGGAACCTAAAAAAACTAGAGATTACAACCATGCGTCGCCTTTTTGGTATTGAAACTAAAGTGCAGCTAAGGTAGCGCAATTTCCTTCCCGGTATTCAAGGAAGACACTAACATACGCTAACATACATATAACCAAAACAAGCCAAGGCAATTGGCTGGTCGGTCTTTTTTGCCATGGAAATTACCATTTTGATGTTTTTAGGATAAAAGCTTCAAAAGGAAAACGTTCCTAGAAAGTAACGCGTTCGTCACCAATAAAGCGCTCCTCGCCAAGAATGCGTTCCTCGGCAATAAGGCGTGCTTGGCACTGTGTATGAAATCAGCATATCGGTCGCGCTTATCTTCACATAGCACATAAAACGCTATAATAACCTTGCGCATTTCAAGACAGGAAATTTCTTCTTTATTGCTGCCTGGCACCGACGCCGGATGTAGTGGCGGCGCGATGTGCGCTTGTGTCGCCGATTTGTAGATTAAAAATCACAGCATAAAAGATTTTCTTTTTTTTCTTAAAAACAAGTTTTTATTGAGAAATGTGATCGACTTAGAAGGCATGGAAAGAGAAGCGAGAAACTCTTCATTTCATGAAACAAAATGACAGC